AACGGATACCAACTGAAGACCTTGCTGGATAGTCGTGCTAATATCACCAATTGACAGAAGTAGGAAACTGTGGATTGTTGAAATCTGACCCAGTGACTGAATGGTTAACGCCTTCGCCGTGAAAGTTGAGGATCCCAAGTTCAGTCCCTAGTCGGGCAGGGCGGTGGATACGTACTCTCGAAGAGTCTCATATTATGATGAAACAGCTGTCCAGTGCTCCCAGGTTTTCAACGGTTCTGTAACTGATGTCAGTCTGTCTTAAACACTACCTTTAATATATATAATGTATACCTAAAAGGAATATAAGTGATAGAAATATAAATCCTTAGTTTCGCTGTTTGAGATAGCTGGAGGTCGCTGGCTCAAATCTTGCTGTGTCCCAGATTTTAATTTCCTTACCAATCATCATCCAGAAGTATAAATGTCTTAAACCTGTGAATATCACTTCTCTGATATGTGTCTGACTTGGCTGATGCTGAAGTGTTTTTAGTAATCCAACAGTTACAATCCACTTTTGTAACTGGAAGATGAACATAGTGTAGATGAGAATTTCCTATGGAAATGACGTTAGAGAAGATGGTTTGGTAAATTTGGTCATGCCAAGTAGTTGTAACATGAGGAAATGATTTCTCTCTCTAAATGTTGACTGTAGCTTGCAGATGCTTTTACTTGAGATGATTAAACGGTTAATTTGACTGCACTTTACCTAGTAATCTTTAAGGAAGAATGTGATTCTCTGGTTTTGAGTTACTGAAAGCTGTTTTCTACTTTTTGATCGGAAAAGTATATCAGTATCAAATAGTAGCGACCGCCTCGCGTTTTCTATTTTAAGCTCTAAAGAGGAGATTCATGATTATATACTGTGTATATGAACAATAATTAGTTCAATGTTTATCAATAGTTTGAATGTAGTCAGTTGCAGTTCGCCGTCAGCAATAATAATTATATAATATACAGTACCTAATGATATTGATTCGGTGCTAAAGGAAGTAATCTTTTTCTTTAAAGTATAGGCATACCTTGATAACTAGTATCAATAAGCAGTATGCTTTGCTTCTATACTTCTTGTTTATTCTCTTGAAATAGTTAAAATCGTAATTCTCTTCTTAAAGTTATGTTTTGACAGCCATGTTGGTCAGTGATGCTTTCCAAAATATTCCATTTTAATCCATGTTTAAATTGCGCTTGTTTTAATTCACTTACTTTATCAGTCGTCAATTTGTTTTGGTCGCCTATTTTCATTCTTGAGATATGACTGAACTTATTATGCAAAGTAAATATTCCTTGAGTTGCAGCAATCATGATCGTGGGTATATATTCACCCTTCACAAGGTTTCGGAACACAGACACATGTACAGATGCCCGACACTATTTGTATTCCTTGACCTAAGGGTGGCATTTGACTCCGTCAATCAAGAAGTCTTGTCATGATGTCTCCCACTGAAAGTGGTGCGGGGCACGTTGATGGTTCTGTATTCGAACACTGATTGGCGTGTTAGAACCTATAGTGAGATGTCAGGGGAGAGTTAAAAGCATCGAGGATGTCTACTCTCACCAGTTTTTTTTAAATTTTCTCATAAACGTTCTTATGGAGGTGTTGTTGTCTGAGTTTACAAGGATTGACGTCACATGGGACTCTTCTGTAGAAACAGAGTAAGAATATGAAATAGTCAACTCAGGTGAAGATGGTGACGAGATGTAGAATCTTCTGGACACCTTGATTAGTGATTTGAGAGTGATTAGGATGTGTTTCTCATCACCCATATGAGAATTGTCGCTCCAGGATCGGTCTTCACCAGTGCTTTGACTAAAAGGAAGGAGTGGAGTGGTTGGGTGTTGTTAAAGGCGGCCAGACCGAAGAATTATATTCTTGCATGAAATGTCTGACTGCTGTCCTAAGCCATGCGGGGAACTATAGACTTCCCGTCTGGAGGTCCGCATAAAAGCTGAAATTGGTCGTAGAAATCCACCCACACGCTATCTTCATAGTAACGTTCTCTCTGAATATCATTAATATTTCGTTCTCTCTTTTTCTCTTTTCATGACTTTCGATTGCTTTCTCCTACATTTCTCTACTCCCTATTTTGGTTACTTCTTCCTTGGTGTGCTGATATGGGGCAAGACAGTATGGGACTTCACGAAGTAACGCCAGGCCTCATGTTGATACTGACTGACTGACCCCTACTTCATTCTTTTTGATGATGTTGTGTTCTCTGAGCTGGATGGTTGAACCGTGAAGCTTTCATTGCCAATCTAGACAACATCATCACAAACTTCTTTCAACTTAAGTCAACGTCTACATACCTAGAGATCAGCCTGCGAAAGAAAATCTGTCTCAAACAATCTGATAAAACAGAAACTTCACTAACTAATTTTAAAACAGGATTCATGAATTCATCATTGCTTTCTGATTTGATATCATTGATACAGTTTCCAATAGCACTAACTGACTAGTTCAAAATTCATTTGGTTAGCTGATTCATGTCAGTTTATGATGCAAAACTATCTGGAATTAATACTGTCCTGATGGAATCAGTTTAAATCTTGAAACAACTTCATAAATTATTGACACCTTACATAAATCAACCACCTTTGTTGAAATATAACCCTAGTAGGCTATCAGATAACACCTTGACTTTTAGAAGTGTGTTAAATTCGAGTAGCAGCGGGACTATTTAAATCGATCGGTATTTAATTGTCTAACTAGATAAACAGAGTGAAAGTGGCATTCTCAATCCACTTATGTACCATCTCCAGTCTACTGTATTCTGTTCGTGTGAGCGTCTAGGGTTAACTGAGCCAACAAACGGTTCTAAAGATTTTGTGTGAAACTATAAATACTGTTTTTTTAACTTAAACATTGGTATGCACAATAACATTTTTTTAAAGTTGTAAATTAATGTTAGGGGTTTCTTATTTATTTAATGTGTCCTTTTCCCCCAGTTATATCATTCTTTCGTTTATCCCTGAAGAAATTTTTTTCCCCTACTATCCTAATAAGACCCATATTTTATAAACAATACATGCCGGTCGTTACTCTACGAAGATAATAATATGGTGAAATAAATAATTTTAAGCTACTATTACTTGTTAAAGTGTATGCAGTCACTTCGTTCGTTGGTTGTTCAACTCATTTGAAGTGAACTCACTATGACTACTTTTAGGCTGGACTGAAAGTGGAATTATTCCCTTTGAAGTATCGTATAAACCAGTGGTTATAAGTTAAGCTGACTTCTTAGATGGTATGTTTCTTTTGGAGATCATGTGTTCTTGGCGAGATATGAAGCTTATACCAGATTTCTTTCACATGTAAAGTTGATTATGTTCAATATACAATGTTTCCTGTATAATTTTTATATGTTTGTAATCAAAATTATGTATACCTATCTTAACTGTCAATTATACTTGACTAAAAGTATGGAATACACATGTGTTAGAGTAAATATCTCTGCTCCTTCTCTCTCTCCCTATCAGTGTATGTGTTGTGTGGATATATACTCATCGTTTTTACCCCGTGTTTGTCTTCTGTTTTAAGTTTCTTTCTGGAAGTTTTATTTTTTTGTTCTGGTAGACTGAATCTTCTAGAATATTTGACTGAATTCGGGGTGATTAGAAATGATTTTTCCTCTCAGCCTACGGTTATTTTCTGTCTTTATTATGGATAAACAACTCCTAAGTACTGTTGTTTATTAATACTTGTAATTTCCCGTTGCTATGCTGGGTGGAATTACTGTACCACTGCTGGGAGATGAGCTGCCATGAAAATACCTCGATACTACCTGAATATTCATCACGTTTTAGTATTACGGTATCCGCATAGGAGCCCATCTCCCAACAGAGGTCGACAAATTCACCGCAGTATAGAAACGGGGAATCACAAGTGTAAGTCAACAACAACTGATACCCGTTACATCAGAGGGTGGTTCGTGTACCTTACTAGCCTAGTGGATAACGCTCTGGTGTTTGAAGTGGTAATTACTGGGGTCGAGTCCCAGTGGGAATACCATCACCTACTAGGATGCAGGTACATCCGGCTGATCAGTCCCAAATAAGACGAAACACGCATTGTGGGTTCTACTGTTAACCATCAAGTCAAATACAACATAGATAAGTACTGTGTTTCACGTAGACAAAAACTTCAATGCGCTTCTAAATCTTCATTACAGCAAACAGGACATAACAAGTCATTTTTTCAGGATATTGCTTGATATTGGTCAAAAACAACGGATTCTGCGTCGATTGCAGTGAATACTGAGCAAACTTGTTGGAAAACTCAAAACCAATGATGTTATGGATTAGCAAATGAAGATACAGGTGAAACAACAACACATAATGAACCTGGGGCTCATTGCCCCAGGGAAATGACTTTCAACTGATGAGTCACGGGTTCGAACCCTGCTCCATCTACCGAGGTTTGGGTAACCACTTGGTATCATTAGCCATCATATAATAGGTGTGACTGATTGCCCACTGGATGAATGTGCACAAGGTTGGTGATTGAATTTTGATTTTTTTATTTATAGGGTAACGAAAAGCTTGTCAACAACCCAGTAATCTTGTAACAGTTACAATATTTGTTAACCCTAAATCTTAATTTAAACTCACCGTGTTGTCGTAGCAACTAAGTGTATAGATTGGAGATCCTTAATTTGCATGATTGAAATTGCCATTTGTTTCTCTTCCTAATCGATGAGTTTGTGGTTTGATTGAAAAAATATTTTCAATTTAGTGCATGAATTACAGAACAATTATTATGCATTCAATTTATTTTCCACTAACTGCCTGGGTTTTTCTTTTACACACTTCTGTTTTACTTTTAGTTCCAGTTTATATACTTCGGGACTATCATATGTGTTTGTGTGCATGAGTTGTATTATTTTCTCTGTTTGATTTCGACATTATCATAATCATTCGTATGCACTGTTATTCATCAGTAAATCTGCTTGACATTAAAACATTTATTGTGTAATACTGGTCTTTTAAACACCTTCTTTCTATAGGTCTATGCTAGGTGATAGTCGTTCACTTGTGCTAAGGGTACATTTACCCAAAGCTGGAATTACCAAAACAACTGCATTCGATGCTCAAATGACTGTTGGTCAAGCTTGTGAACGTATTCGAGCACAAGTACGTGAATCCGATCAAACAGATGGCGGTAAGTATATTAATCTCCTTAGTTATCAATCTAATTGTTTAATTTCTGATGCATCATCGTAACATATCGGCTCATAGTTTCACCTAAGGAGAAACATGAACACAACACATATTTTCTTTTTCAAAAAACTATCTTTTAATGGATCCTATATTTATTACCCTTCTATTTTACTTTCCATCCGTATGATCCATTGAAACCATTGTTATTTTCTCAGACATTTGTTTCTACAAGTATAAAAACTAATATGACTAGTTTTACTAAATTTTGTCATAAACGTTCTTATGGAGGTGTTGTTGTCTGAGTTTACAAGGATTGACGTCACATGGGACTCTTCTGTAGAAACAGAGTAAGAATATGAAATAGTCAACTCAGGTGAAGATGGTGACGAGATGTAGAATCTTCTGGACACCTTGATTAGTGATTTGAGAGTGATTAGGATGTGTTTCTCATCACCCATATGAGAATTGCTGCTCCAAGATCTGTCTTTTTTGATGTCTTATTTGGTGTCTCTGATCACTTATTTTAAAGTTTAATTCTCACCAGTTAAATTCGTAAACTTATCCACCACTTCACTCAAAAGGTAGTTACACTTACAATAACCTGATGACAACTGGTTGAATTTCGATTAAAAAACTCCTAAACTTAACCTGCTATTTGTGACACTATCTGCTGGAATTCTGACAACACCTGAGGAATGTTTCACCTTTCTCATTCTTTCTTAATGCCTTGAAGAATCATCCTTATCAACATAGGACCAGGCATTACTGCGTAACGGTTCGAGTTGCCACAGCTCAGTACAGTACATCAAGTAGAAAGGTAGTGAGGTGAAGGATTAAAGATAAGAGAATGCCTAAAAGAAATTTGAAGGTTATTAAAATGGAAGCTCAAATCAACGCAGCGACCACGTACTCGTTCGTGCAAATAAACATACTGAGTATAGGTTATTTATTTAGACCATTTTGGCTGCCCAAACGTTAGTAAGCAGAGTGGGATTCGAACACGCAACCTACCCGTTTGAAAGATATTATTGTTTACCATTCGATGTATAATATCTTCTGAAATATTGTTTTATTTTTCTGAAATAATTGAGTGAATAGAGTGATGGTTAAGTTTAAGCTTCATAGGCAACATGAATACTGTTTTAATTAAGGTATTTTGCATGGTATACTAGATTCAATGAATAAACAATATAGGTCAGTAGAAGAGTTGTTTTTTAACAACATTTTTGTATGCCTTACAGATGTTTTAGCTCATGATTTACCAATGATATATTTGGATTGATTTTTGATCAGAAATATCTAATCTATATTATTATTATTATGTTATAATTGCCAACTAAATTCTTACCTCATTGATCAATGTTTTTACACCAGTGACATTGTGAAGATTTGATATTCTGTATAGGTGGTCTTCGATTTACATATTTTATAGGACTTCTCTTTGATTGTTTACCTGTATGTATGCATGTATGTATGTATTAGTGTTGTCTCTTTCATTTGGTATATTCAGGTTACACTCTACACACTTTCTGTTGTCTATTGAAAATGTTGAATTACCAAACATTTAATCAAATGATCCATTTGAAATCGATAGCCACTACCTATAAATTCTTCCAGAAAGGTCTTTTTTGCACTTACACTTGTTAATGATAATTACTGGGGATTGTGAAGCAACATTTTATACCACTAAGAATAAAATCCCTCAGAGTTCATCATGCATGCCAATAATAACCAGCTATGTTTAGATGAAAATGTACACTGAGCTGTTATTGATTGTAGACATTTCAATGATATACTATTCGTCATTTTAGGGCAACTTTACAGTGAAGTTTTTTATGGAATGTTAAAACTAGTGATTACTTTGAATCATTTATAGCTAGCTACTGGGATATTATAGAATGCCTTAGTGAGATTGGTCTTGTAAAGGAAGTAAACCTAGTGTATTGCCACTGATCAGATGTGACTCCTACTACATATCATGTGTTATCCGAATTGGTAACTTTTAAATTTTATTAGGCGCTGTAATTTTTGTCTCAGGTAGAACAAGTTGCATGAAATCATGTTGCGAGTGATGATCAGCCGAGGGGGAGGTGGAAGCTGTGAAGAGAAATTCTACTGAAAAACATGAGTAGTTAAATGCCATTCACACTGATCTGTAAATTTCGCCAGCCAGGTCAGAGTGATCTGAAGACTGGACGACCTTTTGTCTCGTTTGGGTCAAGCTCATCAGCGGTGTAACTGAAGACATATATACCTTACAGAGCTGAATTGCTCAGATCAACTAAATCTGACTAGTCGACTTGCATGGACTGGTATATCTAAATTAGGATGAATAATTTGCAAATGATTTACAAGTTGCACAGTTCGTGTTGATATTTCTCACAGCTGAGTAGTTTTCCAACTTCCTCCTATCTATGATGTCAATAGGGTTTTCTTTGGAAATTACTCATAAGCGAAGATCACAAGGTATGGTGTCTAACACAAAAGTGTTATGAATTATCGAAATGCATCACTCTGATCTGTCTAGTGAACTCTAAAGATCAGTATAAGTGGTTAATAACTACTTATGTTATTCAGTAGTAAGTTTCGATAATTCATGTCACTTTTATGTCATGGATCACATGTTGTGATTTTTGCTTATGAGTGGTTTCCAATAGAAGCCAATGTTGACACCACAGTTTGGGGGGTGGAGGGGTAGTTAAAAAATTATTCACCTTTGATAAATATCAACGTGATCCGTATAATTTATATATCATTTTTAAATTGTTCATACCTTAAAAAAAAGAAATTTTTTTAATTTTGTCGTCTTATGCATAAATGAAGTTTTGACTACAAAGAAATCATTTCGATACTAACTTTTTGTTTGTTAAGTGCTAGTTTTTTAATTGAAAAAGGCTATGAAACAGCTTACCAACAAAATTGAAAAGTATGATGGGATTTATGAGATTGATTCTCATGTTTAAGCATTACTGATTAGTGTAATAAATTAGACTACTTAATTGTCGATAGAGTAATGCATGCACTCAAATCATGTGATGAATAGGTACGGTAGGAAAAATAAGTGTAATATAATTTATGAATGAATTTAGCATATAAGTAAATTACTGTTGTTTACCAGCCAAAAAGTTGCAAATGTGAATTTCAGATAAATGTCACTAGTTGTATTATTTTATTTATTTTAAAAGTCATTCTACGTATGACTTAATTGATAACATGGTTATATAGCTCGGACCAAGGGCTTTTGATTGACCCCTTACCCGTTTCTGTATAACTTATATTTTAGAAATAACTGTATGTTGAGTAAAACCTGTTGTTATGCGTCATCCTATATTTCCTGTTTAAAATCAGTTATTTCATTTATGTGAACTATGGTGCCTTGTGGACAAGTAATTTACTTATATATAGGGGCACTAAGCACAGACTTTGCGTTCCGTCGTATAAGATTGAAAGAGCGGAATTACGTGACTTATTATGTGGGTGAGTTGAATATGCGAGATTTTAGAAGTAGATTCGAGAACAACTTCCACGGTCACCCGTTATTCTGAGCGGGCCGAATCATATGCTCAAGTCAGTTGCAGACACACAGTTTGGCAAGTGAATTAACCTGAGAATATGACAATTACACATTTTGAACACCTTACATAATGACTGTTACTATAAAGAGTAATTCTGTTTTTCCTAGAAAGAAATTCTGCTTCATTGTAACTGGATTTTTTCTTTCATGAAACTGTGGTTGGTTTGAATACCTTTGTTAAGACTTCATTAGGTATTTATTTGATTAGAAGGTATATTATACAGATGTTGCTCATCTGATTATATACGGGATTTTCAAACAGTTATGCTTGGGGTTCAAACCACGTTCTATCTACTTTCACCCGGGCAGCTGATTAGTATTATCATAATAAACCGTCACACGATACGTTTAGCTCATAGACAACTACTAAATGAATCTGTATCGAGTTCGATTACGTTACATTTTTTATATTTAACAATAATGATAATAACGATGTTTCCGAAGTTGTCGTAAATAAATAAAAGTGTAGTAAATAGTTGACTGGAACGATTGATTTTAGTTAGGTATAAGATGTGTTTTTGATGTCGACTGTCCATAATAATGTTGCTCACATTTTATTCGGTAACACACACTATCAGTTATTCGCTTCGAAACCTTTCTTGGTTATATATATATATATATATATATATATATATATATATATATATATATATATATATATATATATATATATATATATATATATAGTTCCGTGAAAAAGCACTTAAACTCATATGTAAATATCAGGCTGGTTGAAGAGGCAAAATCGGTAGGGCATTTCTTTTTAGAAAGACCTAGAAACAATCAAGGCCCTTGTAAATATAAAGCTTAGTATGTGATAAACAGGTTGGGATTATGTTAAAATACATAGGTACATTGATTAAATTAGACTTGACACCCAACTTCTTCTAGGATAGTCGTAACAACTATGGTCTGGATGTTTGTAAACCACTGTATATTTTTTATTTATTACATATTTTGACATTGTGATACACCTTTTCATATCTTACCACCTCTTCTGTTTATCGAGGATCTGAGTGACTATCAAGGGTGGAGTGTGAAGATTATTGTTCGTGTCCACTCCCACATATATCACTACCACCACTAGTCCTGTAGCAGGTCAGTTGTGGTCTCAGTAGCTCACAGCCTCTGACTTCAACATTCAGTGACACAGGTTGTCTCTTTAGTATGCATTCAATTTCTAGCTGCTCTATTCACTACGTATTTCCTAAAAGGTCTGTAAAGAAATCTATTATCTTTCAGTATGCTTGTAACGTTTTCTCTACTTGACACGTCTTCAAGGCATATCTTTATAGCTATGTTAATATGGTGCTTGATGGCCAAGATAATCCGTTGTCATAGTGCAACACAGTTATTGAAACGGGTACACATAAACTTTGCTTCATCTCCCCCTTCTTCAATACTTGGGAAAATGTCTCGGGGAAAAT